AATCCCTATCTCCTCTAGGAGAATCTGGAATCCTGGGAACTATGAGTTCTAGTTATATTTCAGTCCATACCATGGTATGGATGAAATATATTGTGTTCCCTCATGTTTCTCCTTCTCCTCCTTCTCCTCCTCCTGCCAAACAGTCAAAGGGATTCAACTCCGCCATCATTCAGCCAAATGACCTGAAATTTGGCATGGAGGTAGAGTGGGCCAATACCCCCAGACGTTTTTTTTTTTCATTTTTTTGAAACATGCCTTTGAAAAATTTTTATGGAGGTTTTTTGGGGCATTTTTCGACAAAAAAATGGATTTTTGGATCCTGAGCCCTGGTATTACAACCAAATGATCTAAAATTTGGTATAAGGGTACCTTGAACGCGTGTCTACAGAATAGCAGTCATGTATTTGGCATACACCACTTCCAAATGACTCATTTGGGGGACTTTAATGGCTATTTTCAGCAAAAAAAGGGCCAAAAGTGATATACCCATTCCATGTTCTATCTAAAGAATGGCCGGTTCCATCCATGGAACACGTGTTCCATTGCGGGTTACCTGAGGTCACATTGCACCTAAGTGGTGCGTAATGACCCACACATTCAATTTTATGGGCCTAAGACCTTCAAAATGTATCAAATCTCATCATTGTTAGTTTTTGCATACCTGTAATAAGATTAGTAAAGCTTTCGAGATTCAAAGTACTTGTTGTTGCATCTTTGTTCTCATATAGCTACTATTTAATTCATTTATTTGAGAACCTTTGCCAGTTTTGCACTGGGGTAAGTTTGGAATAGTCCACTTTTGCGTGGGAGGGAGATGGACTGAAATATGCTGTATTTGCTCCCAAGCAAATGTCGGCCTTTCTAGTTAACATATGTGTTAATGATATTGATAAAGTAATAACAGGTTGATAAAAAAAGAATTCCTGACTTTTTGTGTTGAATGTAGATCTCCATTCTTCTTCAAAATGATTGACCCAGCACGTCGGCAGAACGTACACATGTACACATGTACTGCACCTGCGCGAAACCCGTAATGTATTGTGCTTAGCACTTCGGCAGAACGTCTCATATAAGGTTGTATTTGTGCATATAAGGTTAACAAACTGTCTATAGTTTCCAAATGTTATGTCAGAAAAGATATCCTCTGCAACAGGCAAAATTCTGATGCAACGTTGACCAAACAGCTAACAAAAACCGCTAAAAATCAGGGTTCTGCGCAGGCGCAGTACGTTCTGCCGACGTGCTACTGACCCGATTGTTCAGGTCATGTGACCTTGAAGTGTGACAGCAATGGTACGGTCCAAAGGGTGGTTCAGTTAAGAAAAAAACCGTGTGCCCAAATGTGTGCTGGCCTCTTACATGTACATGTATACATGTATCACCTTCTGAAGTCTGAACCATTTTTTGTCAATAATTAGGCCACACCGATTTAATTTTATGGATGACATCCTCTGAAGACCCCCAAACTAGTGCGCGCGGGCGAAAAAAATAAAAATCCGGCCAAAAATAAAAATGCTACAAAACCACAGGAATACAAACCTGGTATTGTGAATATGGCGCATTGCATAGCGACGTATACGACAGGCCGACACATGCTGGATTTTTGCGAAATATATGAATCGACACTGCTGTGCGTATGTACTGAGTTCTTGAGTCTTGGAGCTTCGGTAGCCTGGCTGCCGTCAACCAGAGTTATCAACACCATGGACTACCCAGGCTTAAAGCCAGGCCAGAGCCTCGGAATACGTGATCTTCTTTTTTTTTTTTGTAGATCGAGCAAAAATCAATGCGCGCGCGGATGTCATCCATAAAATTAAATCGGTGTGGCCTTACTGTAAATCACTTGTTTGCGGTAGCATTTGCAAATTTTGACAGACATGCAGACACTCTTTACATGCCATACTATGATTGAACAGCTAATTTGATCAGTCAGGATGACCCGATTGTTAATTGGATCAGTCATCTTGAAGCTTGTCTGGTTAAATAGTTGGAAGACCTTTAGTTATGAATTTATAATTAGATGTTATTTTATGCAGATGCAAACTTTCATGCTTAGTTTTTCTTTTGATGTAACAGTTTTTGTGCTGTGTTTTGTTTATATGCAGATTTTGAGGTTTTGCTAGTTATACAGTGTATTTTGTTTACAAATCCATATAACATGTACATGTAACAAAAATCATTCCTTGAAGTTTAGTTGAAGGCCACACCAAGTTGATTTGTTGGTTCTTGGACTTTTGAAGGAAATAAATGAAGTGAGCAGGCAAAAAAGGAAACAACAGGACTAGGAATCCTGCTATAGCCCCAAATGCTGCAATACTCAAACAGTATATAACCTTCTTACCATACTCATGCAAAGTCAACATATTACGCAGTATAACTCATTCAATTGGGGTCTAAATCAACCCCAAAATCTGGATGTTTTATGTGGTTTTGAGTGGTACATGGTTTGTATTTTGTTTATCTTTTATTTCTTGTTTTTGAAAATCAGAAAAAAAAAACAAGCACTAGGCAAATCTGAGAACCAACAAATAAAATTGGTGTGGACAGGGAGGTTATACAATCATGTAACCTCCTCAGTGTGGACAAATGTGCATCATATCAAACTGGAACCTTGTTGCATAGTGGAACCTTCTCAAAATACTATACACGATTGACAAGAAAGGCGAAACTGGTTGCCATGCACATCGTGCATTTATAAATAATTGTTCTTTAAGTAATTTCTAAGATTTGTTAATATTGTCACGAAATTAAGTAAGAGTATATTGAAACAGCAAATAGATTCATGTATGTGGCAACTAATGTATTGCTTTATGCTTCATATTGTTTACAATAGATAGTATCCAAGAAATCATGTAGAGATGAAAAACAATGTGACACTACTTGTGATCAATTACACTATATTTCATCTGACACAAAATTTAAAAAAAAAATCTAGCATTTTTTTGGAAAAGAAGTATATATAACTTAAATTATATATCCTAGAGCTACAGAATGTAGTGAAGCTTTGAGAGGAGATAGTTTGCTTACATGGTAGTCGGTGAACCCTTTGGGAAGTGCTGGTTTAGAACACTGTATGATGTATATTTTGGCAGAAATACCAGTTTCAGAATATAAAATACTCGAATACTGGAATGATGTATACATTTTTTTGTACATATGTCTTCAATCTGATGATTTTATTAATAGATTAGAGCTACAATGTAATACAATATGTCACATGCATGTACAGATCTTGAAAGTATGTCTCCATATGACAGTATATAGTGTGTGTGCGTGCGTTAATGAGTGTGTGTGTGAGTGAGTGAGTGAGTGAGTGAGTGAGTGAGTGAGTGAGTGAGAGTGAGTGAGCGTGCCTGTGTGTGTACATGTGTGTGAGTGCATGCGCCTTAGGAGCGAATGTCTGTAAGGGTCAAACAATGGTGGCACCGGTCAAAAAATTGATTTGGTTCATTTTTTTGTACAGTGACGGACCAAAAAAGTTTTCAGGCCATTTGTCCAGATTTTGGCATGTACAAAACATAGAAATTGGCTAGCTTTAGGGCACTATAACTGATCAGTGCTTCAGTGTAACGACAAGAGAAAGATGTGCTGATTAGAGCAATGCCTAAACTTCTATGAAATAGCAGTAAAACCAATGTTCAGTAAAATCTGAGGTCTTGGGCACTTTGAATACAATTTTGCCCAACTTTGAAGCACTGTAGGTCCCAAAAAGAAGTGATGTTTTGCTTGAAATTTACACTGCATAATAAACCAT